TCCTTCTCAGGCATTTCCAAAGCCTGCCCATCTTCCAGTATGGAGTGTAGGTCTACTTCCAGCTCATTTGCCTCAGTCACTTTATCTCATTTCTGGGCATGTGCTGATAGGGTCATCTATTTCTGTTTTGTGGGAATATTCAGAAGTTATGTGTGGTGTTAATACTTATATGGTTGTGTGTTTTGGTATTTTTTATGCTTTCCGATTGCCTTCAGGTAGATGTGATCAGGAGATGGACTTCCCTTTTCACACTTCCCGAGAAATTTCAAGATGCCACAGTTGGTCATTGTGACGTAACTCAGGATTTAATTTTCTGCCTGTTTTCTTTTTAGTCTGCCTGTCCTGTTCCACAATCCCCGTTCAAGCCTTTTTCCTAGTGATAAAACAGGTCAGGGTCGGCTGTGGCAGTTTTGCACTGCCGTTTGGTTTTAAGTGGAAACTGTCACTTTAAATTTTGAGGAGATCTGTACGCATGCATAGTAGAACACTCCAGGCATGGGGGTGGGGTGTCCACTCTATCAGGCATCCCCTCTGGATACCTGAATGGAGGTGCGCAGACAGCGAGGAACCAATGAACAAATCCAAATAAAAAGAACATTCACACCTTTTCTCCGAGATTCTGTCAGGCGTACGTGGCTGCTCCGATCCTTCTTCCACTTGGTCTCACTCAGGATGGCGCTTCCAGGAGCAGCTCAGCATCTTGTATTAGAAAGCAATGGATTTTTTGCTTCCTCTACAATTCCCCTAGCTGTAAGCCTTCTAACCTTCTAAATATTCCTTTTTATGTGGTTCAGAGTTCTGTCACCATCCCAAGCCTGCTTGGTCTGGGGTATTCTGTGTTGTTGCTAACGAAGCCCCTTACTGCACGTCTACCCGATCCACCATCCTGTTTGTTCTCTATAAACTGTTGGAGTTCTGGTGTGGTGCTGTGGGTAATGTGTCAGATTGCAAAGTCATGTGAACTGCAAGGTCAGTGGTTCAAGCTCACCAGCTGCTCCTTGGAAACCCTATATAGGGGTGCTATGAGTCGGAACTGACTCTAAAGCACTTAACAACAACAGCAGCATGGGTGTCATGAAGTTGCTTGGTACCATTTTGTATCTTCTGCAACTTGCTTTTTTGCACTTTGTTGGTGTGGACCTTTAGTCTGAAACTTTAAAGTTATTTAGCATTTTTAACCAGGCTTTGAAACAGTTCAAAATGGTTCAGTAATTACTGTCATAAACAAGTGCTGTGTTTGCATTGCATAGCAATTAAATCTGTTGTTCGTGGTATTTTGACCCATATTCAGAAACATCATACAGCTGTGCCCCACTCAAGGATGACAACTGACCTACACCACTTTGAGCATGTGTGGCGCTGTAGGATAAACACTTGACCTCAAAGTCAGTTTAAACCACTAGGTTCTTGGTTCAAACTAACCAGCTGCTCCTCAGAAACCCTATTACAGAGTCACTGTAAGTAGGAACCAATTCAGTGGTACTTAACAACAAAAACAACAACATTGTTATTGTTAAGTGCCATGAAATAGGTTCAAATTTACCTTGAGGTCGAGTTCTTCCGATATGCATCATACCAGTACTCTTGTAGTCCTGCAAATAATTCAGTCTCCTGTATCAGGCTCCTGAAATTTTCAAATCTGTGGCGAGATTTTCAGAGAGAAACGGTATTGGCAGGACTTTATAGAGTGAGGTCAGCCATCATCTTGGAGCAGGGCACAACTGTTTCCTACTTGGATTAAAATACCATGGAAAACAGATTTGGTTTCTATACAACACATTTGCAGCCTTCTTTCACAGTACAATTAATGAATTGTTTTGAACCAGTTTGAAGCACTGCTTTCAACCCACCCAGTGGTTCCTTGGAAGAAACACTGGACAGTCTATTTTCATCAAGATTACAGCCTAGAAAACCCTATGGGCAGTTTTATTCTGTGACATTGGCTCACTGTGAGTCAAAACCAGCTTGACAGCACTTAACAAGAATCACTGAGTCAGAACTGATGGAAACACTAGCTAGTCTAGAACCTATGGGAGCTCCCAAGAATTTTTCTGTATTCCCCTTTCCCAGGTTTGGGTCATTTCCTTACACTCATACATTAATCAATACTGAGCTGAAGACTCAAAGGGAACTCCTTGAGGATTTTTGGTAGTTTCTCTTTGTAGATCACTTTATTATTCTGTTGTATGAATTCTAGTTGGGGTGGGGGGGAATGCGGTGGCTTCATAGGACAAGCACTGAACTGCAAACCACAAGGTTGGTGGTTCAAGCCCATCAACCTCTCTCTGCAGGAGAAAGATGAAACTTTTTGCTCCCCCCCAAATTTAAAGGCCTCATTCAAGGTCACTATGAGTTGGAACCAACTTGATGGTACTTAACAACAACATGAATTCTGGGTGTCCTATGTCCTCAGTTTTGAATTCAGATCTCCTTAATTCTGGAACCTCTAAGTTCTGTTTAGCCCCTCTCTTCATGTGCTGCAGGCTGGAAATTCAGCTTGGAAGTTAGGCAGTAACCTGAGACAAAATCTTTCCTGTCTGGTGGCAGACATCCAGTATTTTATGCATTTTATTTGCTATTTTAATTGCTTAAGATGGCAGAATAGGTTGGTTTTACTCCATCCTGGGTGATTGAGGACATATCACTAAGGTCTCTTGAGGATATAATGAAAGGCATCTTAGTGGGCGGCCTTTGGAAAGAAACAATATTTTTGCCTACACAAATTAATAGATTTTGAAAAACTAGTGTTCAGGCAGTAGTCCCTGGTTGCTGAACATGTTAGGGTGGTCAGTCAGAAAGCTTCAGTCCACCACCTTGAAAGTTCGGAGGGAAATACTAAATCATGCTGACATCATTTTTATTGTAATTTTTCCCTTGATGTGTGTTGATGAGAATACTCTGTTACCTGCTTCACATAGAAGAGAGAAATCGCCAAGCATAGTTTATTCTACATGTCAGACCTTGCAGTCTTGTTACTATCTAGTTTCAGGCCTCTGTCAGTAAATTTTACCTTCTCAAATATTGATCAGAGTGCTCCTTGGAGGCCAAGATGGCTAAGCTTCGTCTCTCCTACTTTGGACACATTGTCCGGAGAGAACAGTCGCTGGAGAAGGATGTGTCATGCTGGGTAAGGTGGAGGGTCAGAGAAAAAGAGGAAGACCCCCAACAAGATGGATCAGCCAGGTGGCATCATTGATGGCGTCAGGTGTGGCTGCGGTAGTGAGGTTGGCCCAGGATCGGACATTGTTTCGTTCTGCTGTGCATGGGGTCGCTATGAGTCGGTTCCGACTCGATGGCACCTGACAACAATATTGATCATAATATATTGTGATAGTTAATTTTTTATAGACTATGTTGTTGTTAAGTGCCGTGGAGACTGAAGAAACATGAAGGTGTCGACTAACAATAATGATTGGTGGAGGCACAAGCTTTAGAATTTTTAAAAAACGATTTTCAGCTCTGTTGCCTTTTGAAAGGAGTACATAATGTTTGAATGTTAATCTTAAACTCCTATGTGTTAGAATGGCATGCATAACAGTTTTGTTTTTTTTTCTTCAGCTTTTCAAGCGAAGAAATGTTGCTACAGCAGAAGAAGAAACAGAAGAAGTTATGTCAGATGGAGGCTTCCATGAGGCCCAGATTAACAATATGGAAATGGCACCAGTAAGTGAGATGATGAAAGGAACTATTTTTCATTTTTTTTGTGATGATGTAGTTAAACAAAATTGATTTAGTTATGAAGTTTAATGATAAGAATTTATGATAAATGTAAGGTAGAATAGCAAGAAAGATTTTAAAGGAATTCATTATTCATTCTTGGTCATATGAAGGGCCCTCAAAAAGTTTGTGAAGAACTGGAATTAAAAGTAATGGAATTTGTCTTTAAACTTATTTTTTTTCAAGTCCCCTTATATTTATATGATTAAAAAAAATTGCTCCACAGCACAAGTCCTGTAGTTTTTGGATTGTAACCTATTGTGAGTTGAAACTGACTCCATGGCAGTTAATAATAGCAAACCCATTTTGTAACTTAAAGAAAAAAGTTTATTGTGGCAAAATGTATATAACAAAACAGTTGCCATTTAAAGTGTACACTTCAGTGACACTAATTATATTTACCATGTTGTCCACTATATGTATTTTTTGGAAGTGGAATCTTAATATTTGTCCTTTGTATATGACTTGTTTTACTTAAAGTAATATTTTCAAGATTCACCCATATGATAGTATGTCTCAGAACTTTGTTTCTCTTTATGATATAAGAATATTCCATTCTGTGGATAATACCACATTTTGTTTATCCAATCATCTGTTGGATACTTTTGCTGTTTCTAGCTTTTGGCTAGTATTAATAATGCTGTAATGAACATTGGTGTAATGCTCTAACTTTTTGAGGTTATATGATGGTGGTGGTGGGGTTGGTTGTGTGCCGTGGAGTCAGGTCTTACTCACACCAGCCCTTTAAAGGGTTTCCGAGGCTGTAAATCTTTACGGGAGCAGAAAGCCCCATCTTTCTACCATGTAACAGTTGGTAGTTTCGAACTACTGACCTCGAGGTTAGCAGCCTGACTCGTAACCACTATATTGCTTTAAAGATAAAAAAACTGATGCTTTATATTCATCAAACTTGTCTATACTTTCAGTGTATAATTGGTTATTTAATTTTTGTAATAGGACTCCTGGTTTGGTGCTGTAGAATCAGTACTGGACTGTAAAGCACAAACAAGATTGGCAGTTCAGACCCACCAGCTGTTCCTTGGAAATCTTATACAGAGTTGCTATGAGTTGGAACTGACTCCACAGCACTTAACAACAACAACAACAATTTTTGTAATAGATCTTATATATACACTCATGCTTTAAAAAACAAAACAAAAAACAATCATATATGGTGAAAAATATTTTTCTTTCACTTCAGTCATCCAGTTTCTTTCTCTAATTGTGTAGTCACTGTTACCAGATTATTAATTTAGATTTTTTTGGTATATCAGTAAATAAATCCTTTCACCCCTTTTTTTGACATAACATTTTGCAGTTATTTTTCCTCACGTCATAGATCTATAATTTATCTGAATGAATTCTCTTGAATCAGAATGTACATGGATATTAATAGCCAACACTTTCATTTTATGATGAATTCTTTAAAGCCCTTCAGAAAGTCAAGCTTGCCAGTATTTTTTTTAAAAGTTGATGTAGAATGGATATAAAGCTTTTATCGACCTTACTGGTCTCTAACTTTCTCGTTATCTTTTATTGACTAGCCTTAGTTGTTGGGACTGCCCTGCAGTATTTTCTATGACAGCTGAGTTTTCCTTTTGAGGTGTTTATTTGTAGCTATTCCTACAATTTGGAATCCTCAAATGTTAACCTTTCAGGCTGTATACATTTAGAGAAAGGAATTTAAAATAGATAAAAAGTCAGTGTTTACAGTTTGGTAATATTAAATACTGGGAATGATATGTTCATAAATCTGTGGAGTATTTTAAAGAGGAATAGAAATACTAAATTTTTTATAGAAGGAGAGTTTAGAAACTGGGATTATTTTAATCAGTTGCTGAGTACTTTGTTTTAAAAGCTTTGTTAGCCTATAATTAGTGTTGGGATGAATGTTCTCATTTGGTTTTCAAAAAAACCTAAACCTTAAAAATTAATCTCTGTAACCAATGTAAAATCTCCCAAGCTTGAAAGTGTATTAAAATGAAAAGAAGACACTAAAATAACTTTATGGGGGTAAGTGATATCATCGTGGAGCCCACATTAAAGAGAACAAGAATTGGTCAGTATCCTTTAGTGTTGCATAATGGTTTTAAAAATAGATATGATAAGTTAAAAGGCATTGCTACTATGGTTTCAGCTCATACATGCGTGGGGTTATTCCAAACATCTGCCATTATGGGATGGCTGCAGACAATTTTGTCAGTAATACATTTGTCTTATACTTGTTAGAATGCCTTCATTTAAAAACAAAACAAAACAAAACAAAAAACCCAAAAAGCTACTTTCTGTGTCAAGGGTAAAAAAACAATTTTGAGGTCAGAGCTAATGTAAAATTTGTAACAAAACTGAAATGGATATCTTCCCAAATCATTGAAGCTTTGCAGCAAGTTTACAGAAATGCTGTGCCACATAAAACAAGATTTTAGATTAATCAAGCGTTTTAAGGAAAGTTGGAAAGACCTCAGAGATAAACCAACAGTGGGAAGATCATCACCCTTGATGAATGAAGAAGCTGGGTAAAGTCCATAAATTGGTCGAAGACCATAAAATTACCATAGGTACTATAGCTACTGAAGTTGGGATTTTACATGATTCATCATTTTCAAATTTAAGTGAACATCTTGGCCTCAGCAAGCTTTTGACTTGATGGGTTTCCTTGACGTTTTATGAAGATAGCTACCTCAAAGAGCTGATCTTTTCCATCAGTGTTTTAAGCAAGATTGAAGTTAATGAAAACATTTTATGGAATTAGACATAAAACCAGGGACAAGCCTTAGATTTACCAATACGATCCAGAGAGCAAGATCCACATGAAACAGTAGCTTCCAAGATGATCTTGGCCAATTAAATTCAAGGCAGAGAGGTCAGCTCAGAGTGAGTGTTGGTGGTAGTGCTGTTGAGGCTATTCTGACTCATAATGACCCTGTAAAGGCTTGCCAAGGAGTGGCTGGTGGTTTTGAACGACTGACCTTGTGGTTAGCAGTCCAGTGCTTATCCTACAGCACCACACCAGGACTCCAAGACTGATTTTTACTATTTTTTTTCCTAAAGAGTAACCTTGATAGATTTTCTCAAAGCGCACAGGAAGATCACAGGGGGTTAGTGTGAAGAAATTTGAAGAAAATGGAAAACTGCAATGGAGAGGAAAAGGCCAGCAAAGATGTGCCAATGCTTTGTTTTCTATCACAATAGTACCACTGCTCATTCTTAGAGAGTGGCAAGGCCTGCTCTCTGAAGATCCTGAGGAATCCTTGCCCCATCCACCCTGCAGCTCTGATCTTGCCTCTTCCTACTTTTTGTACCCAAAATCAAAAGGCAGTTAAAAGGAAAGTGATTTTGAGTCCCTTGAGGATGCCAAAGTGGCTGTTTTGACATGCTATAAATGGAAGTGTGCATAATTCTTTGGAGGTTGGAGAAATGGAAGCACTGCCTTTATAAATGATGTTACATTGGGGTGATTGCAATCAGTGACATGACACAAACAAAAATTGATGAGTGGAGGGAAATGGATAGGCTCTGTAAATCTTCACCCAATTCATAATAAAGAAAAAGTTAAAAAAAAAACAACCAAAAAACGTATATGAACCTAGATGGGAGGGTGTGCCGAGAAACAGCTTCACACTTGATATTTTTGTTTAATAAGGGTTTCTATGATTTTGTAGCAATACTTTTTTTTTTTATTTATCTTATCTGTAAATCAAGGGAGGTGAGATTTAAATTCATCATAATTTGATGGTAATACATATTCTTCAAACTGTTTTTCTTTTCTTTGATTGTAGTCAGCTACTTGATCTGTTCCACTCCACAAAATTCACATCTGGGCTCAGATATTCCTTTGTCATTCATTTAGCAACTGTGTAACTGTGTGTAAGCTTGTATTCTCATCGGCAGAATCAGAGTTGCACTACCTACTTCACTGTATTAATTATGAGGCTTAGTTGGTATTGTAGAGTATCTTGTCCAGAAAGGAAGACGGTAATAGATATTTTCCAGGGGAAAATCTCCAGGAGAAAAGAGGGATTAGGCAGCCTACTTGATACAATGGAAAGCTGGAGTGGTGAGTAGATATGATCATGCAAAATTATAGTACAAGGGGAAAAGAATGGTACTTAATACTGCCAAGAATGAAATATAACGCACTAGACCTGGTGTGGCACTGTGGGCTACTGTGTCAGACTGCAGAGTCGTTTGAACTGCAACGTCAGTGGTTCAGGCTTACCAGCTGCTCCTTGGAAACCTATACAGGGTCGCTGTTGGTCAGAATTGACTCAATGGCACGTAACAACACCAACATTATTTACTAAGCCATCCAGAAGTAAAGCATTCTTATGCAACTTCTTGTAAGCTGAATGATGCAAAGTCATGATTACCATTAATTTACATATGAATTATTGCTACCATTAATTTATATGGTAAATGTGGCATGGTACTGTTCCATAAGCACTTGACCCTGAAGGTCAGTTTGAACCAACCACAAGTTCGGCGGTTCCAACTCACCGGCTACTCCTTAGGAGCCCTATACAAGGTTGTTATGGGCCGGGACCGACTTAACAGCACTTGTCAACAACAACTGTCACAGTTCACAGACACCATTTAAAGTTATGACAGCTTGATGCTGAGTGTAGTTGTGGGGGTGGGAAGGAGCTGTAATGGCTTGTTGCAAAACAGATACTGAGTACTAGCTTTGCTTTTCGCCTTTTTTTCTATAAGTGAAAATCTGCATCACATTTCTTTTGGTTAGCAAAATAGATACTATTGTAGGTCTTTTGTAAAAATAAAGGGGCTGTAAACTGAACTTTGAAAAGTGTCAATAGTTATTGTGTATCAACATTGTTGAGTTTCAAAATTTATAATCAGTGGTAGGACAAAGCACATAAGACAGTATAAACATGTTATGTCATCTTTAACAATGTAAATAGTAATATTAGTGTTTGGGATAAAGAAAA